TGAAAATTGGCTTGATTTGCACAAACTTTGTGTTTGATGCTTTCTCTCTTGTTTCTCTATGATTTTCTTGTTGATCAATGGCTCCAGAACTTGTTTAAATACTCTTTGAATCAATTCTGAACGTTGGTGATAGATAGTGGAGATAATAGAGCCGTTTAAGTGTGAAAATAATTAATTTTTCTGGGTGGAGCGTCTCATGCATCGATGCATGATGAAGGATGCATCGATGCATCAGTGTAAAATTCAAATATTTTGATCGTTGGGACACTTAGTGCATCGGTGCACTAAGTATGCATCGATGCATAAAATGCATTCGATGTTTGAAAAATAGCCTGGTGCATCGATGCATGGCTTGTGCATCGATGCATCAAATGCATTCGATGTTTGAAAATATTCAGAGTGCATCGATGCATGGAGAGTGCATCAGTGCATGAAATGCATTCGATGTTCAATTAAATCATAGGTGCATCGATGCATGGACTGATGCATCGGTGCATGCCTTTGAAAAATTGATTTAAGGCTTGATTTTGGTTCAAAATACTTTGTGAAAATTGTTTCAAAAATAGTTTAAGTACAAATAACAATTTTACACATTTAGTAAGGATTAAAATTGATCTTGAAAAACTTGGAGTAATAATTTGATATTCGGTTAATTGAATCGAATATAAATTGTAGAATCATTTGTAAAATCTTAAAATTCATTTAACTTAATTTGTTATATCGAAATATCAAAAATGTTTTCAACACGTTTTTAGAAAAATGTATTTAAGAATCATTAATGTAATCTGCTAGACTTAGTCAAAATGCATAGGCTGGGTCTAGGGGGTTACAAGTGTATTCAACACTCATAGTGCATGTTTCTTGTAAGGATGAACAATTGGAATCTGAATGAAATTTATTAACATTATATTAAGTTTAATTAATAATAAGTTAGTCTAACAAGATTAGATACTAAATCTTTTAAGCAATGTCGGTAGTTCAAATCTTGGTTGTAAATGAAACAAATTGAATTAAGATGATTATCTTTATAATGAGCATCTGTAATATTTAATTTGAATTTATTAATAAATCAAACACATATAATTATAAAAAATATTATAGTTTGAAATGAAAAAAACATTGTTAGTGTTTGAGTTAGCTATCATTCTTCATAATATTATCGTGAAAACTAAAAAAAACACCCATCATTTGACTTTGTAATATTTAATTAACTCTAGGAGTGATTCTGCTGTCAATAAGGTTGTTCATCTACTTGGATTCTTCATAATATGCATCAATTTTATGTATACAATTTAATTGGTTCTTTAGCTAGTCGGATGTGTTTCTCCACTTGCAACTTGACTAATTCATTATATGTTAACCTTAGCTGATAAAGAAAATGAGAAATGGCTTGGATATCCTTCTGAATATTTTCTATAACTTTTTCAGAGACAGAAAAATCTTCAAGAGTAACAGTGAAGCCTTCTACAAAGATATTCTCCATCAATAAAGGCTGTAAAGAATCAAAGAAGATAATAACCTCTTTTAGACCATTCTCATAGAAAATAGATGCCACAACTTCATTGATGACAGACTGCATCAAGTCCTTATTGAAATCAACTTTCAATATGTAATTTTTTCCAATTAAGTATTTATAGCTGGAACAATATAGGTAGGCAGGAAAAGCAATTTGTAGAACCTAAAAAGTTGTCCAACATGAAACAACATGATTATCCTTCAAAAAAAATAGGTTGTGGCAAAGATGAAGATAGAGACATGGACAATTTTTGAGCATCTTCCTTTCTAAACAAAAATGTCTGAAGCACAATTCTCAGTGACAACCATGAATCAGTGGCCAACTGCAGATTTAGGTTGCCACTATGAGAGCTAAGCAATTACTTCTCCACCGAAAAGAGCTCATAAACTTCCACTTTTGTTGAGAAAGATTGTGGGTAGAACAAGTGAATACATAACGTTTCATTTTAAAGAAAAAGACACTTAACATTTGACATAATAATCATTTTGTCTTTTATTCTTTTTTGGGTATTTTAACCCCTAACATTTAATTTTAGATTAAAAATCTCCTATTTTGAAGTATTAACCATTATTAACTAATATTTTTCATTTATAAAGGGAACATTTTACCTCAAAGTGAAACATTGACGACCCAAATGCTTTAAAAATATAAGGGTAAAATAACTATTTCGATAAAATTAGAGACTATTATTGGTATAATATTTATACATGTATAATTAATTGACGAAAAAAAGCAATTGATTATGATAAGATGTATTAAAAAAAATAAGAAAAACAACGTAAAAAAAGGATTAGACTGAAAAACAAAAAGCAAGTCCAAGCGACCATTGTAAATCATGTGAAGAAAGCTGGTTTTGAAGTGCGATTTTCAGAAGCTGACTGAAAATCGCTTTCAAAACCCCAAAATTCTCATTTGAAACCAGCAAGTCTTCAACTAAAACACTTAACATTTCCTTTGAATCTGACTGAAAACCTGATTTAAAACCCCAAACCTGAAATGATATCATTAGAGAAGTATTTCATAGAAATAGTGATTATGGAGTAAGGAGATGGAAATACGAATTGAGAGTGGATCAGAAGAGGACATGTATCTTTGCTAAACTCAATATTGAGGATGTCATATTAAAGAGAAACAACAGGAATGCAAGCCCTAATGATAATGACAACCCAAATGAACGTGAAAGGATGAGAGCGAGACACTTATAACTCAACGATGTTTAGAGTAAAGATAAACTTTGTTGCCTAGATTCCCATGAAATAAATTCAAAGTACTCTACGAGTACAAGAAGCTGAGAACTCACAAGAAGCACTGAGGGTGTTTGACATAATTTCAAGGCAACATGCCCTTTTGTTTGCCAGTCTTTTTCCATGACAATCAGAATAATTTTACAAACATTGGAGGAGGTAGCCTTGGTTGTAGAAGTTGTCAGTTGAGCTTCCAAGCCACGTAAGGAATCTTTTCGTTGAATATTGATGTGTCAACTACGATGATGATTCAACCAATTCCAGTAGTTGATCATCAATCGAAATGTAAAAGAGTCTTACTCCCTCGAGTAAACAAAGGCTAAAAGAACGCTTAAGAATCTCTGGATTAAAATTGATCCATACATTCAAGAGGGAAATATCACTGGATTGAGCTAATAAATGAGCAAATGTCAAATATATTCCATGAAGTCGTCAGCACTAGGGCATGATTGATTCCAATGACAAGACCAGCATACTTCACTCTAAAGCTACAAAAATTATGTATGCGAAAAATGATAAATGTAATGCTCTTAAGTATGTCTAAGATGTATGCAAAATGAATTAGATTTTGTTTTATTTCTTGGATTGAGTCTCATTCTTTGTCTGCTGGTCTTGTCCTTGGAATCGATCATGCCCTAGTACTGACGACTGACATTTGCTCATTTGTTAGCTCAATCCAGTGATATTTCCCTCTTGAATGTATGGATCAATTTTAATCCAGAGATTCTTAAGTGTTCTTTTAGCCTTTGTTTACTCGAGGGAGTAAGACTCTTTTGCATTTCGATTGATGATCAACTACTGGAATTGGTTGAATCATCATCGTAGTTGACACATCAGTATTCAACGAAAAGCTTTCTTACATTGCTTGGAAGCTCAACTGGAAACTTCTACAGCCAAGGCTACCTCCTCCAATGTTTGTAAAATTATTCTGATTGTCATGGAAAAAGAATGGCAAACAAAAAGGCATGTTGCCTTGCAATTATGTCAAGCACCCTCAGTGCTTCTTGTGAGTTCTCAGCTTCTTGTACTCGTAGAGTACTTTGAATTTCTTGCATGGGAATCTAAGCAACAAAGCTTATATTTACTCTAAACATCATTGAGTTATAAGTGTCTCGCTCTCATCCCTTCACGCTCATTTGGGCTGTCATTATCATCAAGGCTTACATTCCTGTTGTTTTTCTTTGATATGTTATCCTCAATATTGGGTTTAGCAAAGATACATGTCCTTTTCTGATCTACTCTCAATTCATATTTCCCTCTCCTTACTCCACAATCACGGTTTCTATGAAATATTTCTCCAATGGTACCATTTCATGTTTGGGTTTTAAATCGGGTTTTCAGTCGGATTCAAAGGAAAGGTTAAGTGTTTCAATCGAAGACTTGCTGGTTTCAAAAGATAATTTTGGGGTTTTGAAAGCAATTTTCAGTCAACTTCTGAAAAATCGCACTTCAAAACCAGCTTTCTTCACAGGATTTACAATGGTCGCTTGGACTTGCTTTTTGTCTTTTCAGTCTAATCCTTTTTTATGTTTGTTTTTCTTATTTTGTTTTAATACATCTTATTATAATTAACTATTTTTTCGTCGATTAATTATTTGGGTATAGATGTAATACCAAAAATAGTCTTCAATTTTATCGAAATATTTATTTTGCCCCTTATATTTTTAGAGCATTTAGGTCGTCAACGTTTCACTTTGAAGCAAAAGATTCCCTTTATAAATGAAAAATATTAGTTAATAATTGTTAATTCTTCAAAATAGGAGATTTTTAACCTAAAATTAAATATTAAAGGTTAAAATACCTAAAAAAAGGAATAAAATACAATGATTATTATATAAAATATTAGGTGTCTTTTTCTCTAAAATGAAACGTTATGTATTCACTTGTTCTACCCACAGTCTTTCTCAACAAAAGAGGAAGTTTATGAGCTCTTTTCGGTGGAGAAGCAATTGCTTAGCTCTCATAGTGGCAACCTAAATATGCAGTTGGCCACTAATTCATTGTTGTCACTGAGAATCATGGTTCAGACATTTTTTTTAGAAAGGAAGATGCTCAACAATTGTCCATGTCTCTATCTTCAGCTTTGCCGCAACCTGTTTTTTTGAAGGGTAATCATGTTGCTTCCTGTTGGAAAACTTTTCAGGTTCTACAGACTGCTTTTCCTGTCTACCTAGATTGTTCCAACTATAGATACTTAATTGGAAAAAGTGACATTGAAAGTTGATTTCAATAAGGACTTGATGCAGTCTGTCATCAATGAAGTTGTGACATCTATTTTCTATGAGAAGGGTCCAAAAGAGGTTATTAACTTCTTTGATTATTTACAGCCTTTATTGATGGAGAATATCTTTGTAGAAGACTTCACTGTTAGTCTTGAAGATTTTTCTGTCTCTGGCAAAGTTATAGAAAATATTCAGAAGGATATCCAAGCCATTTCTCCTTTGCTTTATCAGTTAAGGTCAACATATAATGAATTAGTCAAGTTGCAAGTGGAGAATCACATCCGACTAGAAAAAGAACCAATTGTTGATTTCATACTAAAATCATCCACCTTGGGTAGTTTAATTGACTCTAGGAGTGATTATGTTATCAATAAGGTTGTCCAGCTGATTTGATTCTTGGGAATGCAACTTTCAGATATAGGAAAATTCTCTCTTTAACATAGGATATACGTAAGGTTGTAAAATCAGGTAATCGGACAGGTTTCAGTCGAATCTTGGCAGGACAGGTAAAATCGGGTACAGGTCAACTCAGGTTGATTTGACACCAGATCCATATCGGGTTCAGGTCAGGTCATTTTCAGCTCAGATCGATGTCAGTTTAGCTCAAAACATTTCAGGTCCGAAGCAGATAAAGAACAGGTTAATTCAGGTTCGGGTGGACTTCAGTCGGATCTCGTTCAGATCGGGTCACATCATTGACAGATAAAATTCAGGTCGGATGTTTACCGGATACGGATTGAGTTCAGGTCGGGTCGTTTCTATTTTTGGATTAATTATTTTGTCATCTTTCGTGATTGTTGAATTGCAAGTTGTAATTGTATATGATTTCGAGTAAATTAAGACAAAAATAAATATTCATGGATCAATTTTGTAAAAAATATAAATTTAAGGAAAAAATGAAGAAATGTAAAATTAAAAATAAAATTTTAAAATATAAATTAAACAACACACATAGGTAAGGGACTAAATCGAAATAAATTTAAAATGTGAGGTTTAAATTAATATAAAAATGACTAAATTAAACACATTTAAAAAGTTATGGGCTAGTTACAAAAATATAAATAACAACTAACAATGGGCCAAATGAAGATGCAAATATAAATTTAAGGACTAAATTGAATACATATAAAAGTTAAAGACTTAAAATTGAAATAAATTAAAAAACACACAAAAGGATTAAATTGAAATAAATGTAAAATGTGAATAAATAATAAAAATATAGTAAATTGCATTTATTTAAAAAATTGAAAAATATAATATATATATAATATAAGTTTATATAAATTATATATAAACTATATTTATATTATAAACTATATAATTATTATAAGCTATATATATAATTGTTTATATGAACTATATATAAAAACTATATATGTAATAACTATAAAAAGTATAGTTTTAAACTATAATTTATATTAATATATATATATAATATATATATATATATATATATATATATATATATATATATATTCAAAGTGAGTGGTGGAATAAAACTTTTTAAAAGAAAGATTTTTTTGTGTGCAAAAATTTGATTTTATTTGGGAATTTAGAGGGAAATTGATAAATTTTGAGAATATAGAGAAATTGAGAATTTAGAGGGAAATTGGGAAAATTAGAGGGAATAGAAAATTTTGGGAAGTTAGAGTCAAGGATAGTGTCCAACAAGATATTTTGGGTTAATTAGGCTCATGCTCCTCCAACAATAATTATTTTTCAAATTGTTTTTATTTTTTATTTCTTTCATTTTAGTCATGGTTTAATTGTAAATATCTTCTTGAATTTTCAATTCGATGCAATTTAATCATGTATACATTCTAATTACTTTTAATTTTCTATATATATGTACGTATGTACGTATGTACGTATGTACGTATGTACGTATGTACGTATGTATAAACTATATAAAATATATAGTTTATAAATTATAATTTATATTAATATAGTATATATATATATGTATAACTAATATAAGTAATATATAGATTATATATATATATATTATAGAAACACTATGCATAAACTATATAAAGTAATAAAATATATAGTTTATTAAAAAAATCCTAAACCTTAAACCCTAAACATTAAACCATACACACTAAGCCATAAACCATAAACCATAAACCTTAAACCATAAACTCTAATGTAAATAGACTAGCACTAATGTATATATATATTTGTAATAAAATAGTGGGTTTATGTATTGGGCCTATGTAAACTAATGTAAATGGACAAACACTAATGCAAATGGACTTATTTTTTGGTTTTATAATTATTTATTCATAACAACAAAATAAATGGGCTATTCATGTGAATTAACCTAACATGCAACTAAAATACTAATTATGCAAATGAAATTAATATGACATGTACTACTATTTATGAACCATATAATATACAATGTGACATACAAATTATTTAACACCTAATTAATCATGTTTAATATAATTTACATTTAAATAATTTTATTAATTTTATTAAATGGACTAGCATTAATGCATATATATTTGTAATAAAAGAGTTAGCCATGTCAACAACAGTTAGCCATGTCGGTAGCCATTAGCCATGTTATCGTGTCGTTAATGATTCAGTGATATAATTGAAAAAAAAAAAATCAAAGTTCAGTGTTATAATTGGTAAAATTAAAAGTTCAGTAGTATAAACGATACAATGTCTAAAGTTTGGTGTCATATAATGTAGTTTACCCAAAAACGAAAAACGAATAAAGCATGGACCCCACGCGACGGCAACAACTCAAGCATGAAAAATGCACTTAAGTGGGAAAAAAGCAAAATTAATTGGGGAAAAAGTAAAACCATTCAAAATGCTCCAGTTTTTGTTCATTTCGGCGCGGAAATTTCAAATTTTCCAAACCAAAGTAGGTTTAAATCATAAACCCTAAAACCAATCAAAAATTAATTATTTAACACTTAATTAATCATGTTTTATATAATATGTATGTATAAACCATGTACAGTATATATAAACTATATATATATAACCTATATATATAAACTATATAAAGTAAATTACTTATATAGTTTATAAAAATACTATGCATAAATTATATAAAGTAATAAAGTATATAAATTATAGAAACCCTAATCATAAACTCTAAACCCTAAACTTTAAACCCTAAACACTAAACCCTAAACTCTAATGTAAATGGACTAACACTAATGCATATATATTTGTAATAAAAGAGTGGGCATATATATTTGTAATAAAAGAGTGGGCATATATATATTGGGTCTATGTAAACTAATGTATTGTCAAAATTATTTATATTAATAATGTAAAACGTTAATATATATTACATAATAAATACTTTCATTATTAATATTATTTTTTCTTTATATAAATTAAACTATATAATTTATATAAATAAACTATAAATTTTCCTTTGCATTATTAATCATGTTTTATCTATTATACATTTAAATAATTTTATTTATTTTATTAAATAATTTTATATAATATGTCTATTTATTAATTTAATTATCATAATAAATATTTTATTATAACATTTAAAAAGTAATTATATTAATTTTTTAATTACATCATAAACTAAAAAAACTCATAATTTTATTAAAATCTTATAATTATGTCCATGGTAATATATAAGTCAGGTAAATATCAGATCAGGTTAAAAACATGTCAAGTTGAAAACAGGTTAGGTTGAAAACAGGTCGGGTAATACCAGTTATTTACCAGGTCAATCTCGGTTTCGGGTTCATATCAGTCGAATACAGGTCGGGTTCGGATCCACAATTTCCAGGTCCAACTCGGATTCATGTAAACACCAGTTCCGACTCGAGTCGGTTTCGGATCGCTACAGTGCAGGTTAAAAACAATTTTGACTCGAGTCGGTTTCAGTCAGTTTTATAGGTCGGGACAGCTTTTTACACCCCTAGATATACGGCGTAAAAGACTCATCGAGTCCCTCATTTTATATATTAATGTACAACTAAAGCATTCTCTCTTTAACATAGCTCAGGTTAATTACATTAAATAAAATAACTCAGGTTAATAATATACCGAGTTCCCGTAAAACTAAAGCATTTTATATATTAATGTACAAATAAAGCATTCTCTCTTTAACATATGAGGTTTATTTCCTATATCGGTATAATTACATTAAATAAAATAGCTCAGGTAAAACTAGGATAGAAATATTGGTCAAGTCATTACCATGGTAAAATCAACACAACAGAGAAAAAAAATAAAAACCACTCAAACAACAAAGGAAGCATAGCTATTCAGTTGACGAACTTTAAAATCATGTGGAAAAGAAAAGGAACATGAATCAGCAAGCGGATTATATATTCCCATAGCAAGAAGTTAAATGATTAATCAGTTTAAGAAAAGGAATATCTTTTTTAATATGATGGAATTCTGTAAACGACTAAACAGGTTAAAATATTTTAATAAAGTGAAATCTGATTCTACATTTGAAGGGTACCCATTTCCCATCTCTAACTTCTAAATTTGAATTCAGAAACAAAAGGGGAAATCCATTTAGGGGAGTTCAAGAAATCTGTCATGAGACTCTTTAAACTTGAAGAAATTTTAGTGATTGCTTTGAACTAAAGAGAATATTACCCGGGCAACATTAACAAGCTGAGTGAAGTTATCGACGATGCTGGCAATGTCGGTATCCACTCTATGGCATCATAGTTTTTTGCTTCTGTGCCGTCGCCGCTGTGGGCCCGGTTCCCACTCCCGTTCCTTTGTTCATTGATGCAAAACTTTAAGACCATTTTAACATAGAGAAACACGACAGAAGGAGAGGAAACAAAATTGAGCAAGGTTGGGATCAAAGAAATTGATCCAGTGAGGATAACATACGGGTAAACATCTGGGTTCCCAAATAGGAAATACGGGTAAACATCTGGGTTCCCAAATAGGAAATACGGGTAAACATCTGGGTTCCCAAATAGGAAATACGAGTAAACATCTGGGTTCCCGTAAAAGTATTTACAGGCATGATTTCATTGGTTTGTGGGGATTTTCTTTTACAGATATTACGTGTGAGAATCCTGACATGCGGATTTCCATCGCTTGTGGCTACGTGATCAATGCCAATGGTCTATACGATAGGCCTCGACAACGCTCTGCTATTGACAGAGCTTAGCATAGCACTAAAGGGAAAGTAGCTCAGCTCAGGCCAAGCTCTAGGACTGCTAACCCAATATCAATGAGAAGGGAAGTTCCTAATTCTTCTAGCTTTTTTATTTTGACCCTGCTGGCCTCTCATGCGCCGAAGTACGGGAGAGGTTAGGCAAGCCGGTAGCTCGTATCTCTGGATAAGGTACGAAGTCACTCGACTGGAAGGAGAGGAGCGGAGTCAGATTCATGTCATGCCTGCTTTTAGCTCGTAGTTTCACTCTTGCTTTTGTACTGAACTTTGTAAAGATTGGGAGATAGAGTGTACCGCAGCTTGCGAGAAGTGGAGTTTACGTTGAATCCTATTTTTTCTTTTAAGTTTGGAAACTTTTAGTAAAAAATGCCAACTTGATTGAAAATTGAGGCGGTTTTGGTAAAATAGCTGTTAACTTGCAATCGAACTTGAAGTTTACAATTGGAAACTCAGCTCGGGTTCCATTGAGTAAGCTCGAGCTTGATTATAGATAAAAAATTAGAGTAAATTACACATTTAATATCTAAATTATTATTTTTGTTTTATTTTAGTATTTATTTTTTTAAAAATTATTTTTAATATTTAGTTTAAATTTTAATTTGATACTCATTCGTTAAAAAATTAACAGAATTGCTGATATAACATTTTTATAATTCTTTTCAACGATAATATGATATTATCTTATAATGACACGTTAATATTGCAATTAAGTTTTTAATGACGGTTATCTAAATGAAACTTAAATTAAACTTTAAATATGTTTTTGAAAAAATATAAATTTTAAATAGTAAAAGAGAAAAAAAATAATAATTTAAGTACTAAACGTATAGTTGTATACTTATTTATTTAATAAAAAATATTGATGTATAATAAAATAAATGTTGGTGATAGAAGACGATGATAGATCATTTTTTAATAGTCTAAGTGATTATAAAATACAAAGTAGTTTATGTTCAGAATTATTTTAAATCAGTTGACAATATATATACATAAGGAAAAACTATCATTATTAAAATCACTTGATGGGTTCAATATTTCTTATTTAAATAAAAAATATTAATTATAATAATTGAAGAAAATGATAGAGAAAACTCTTAAAATGTCAAGAGGAAAAGAAGGAAATCCCTCTAAACAAAAATATTAATGAAAGATTAAAAAAACCCAATTAATTTTAATTAATTTAGACAAATATATGATTATTTTAATTACTTTGAACGCTATTGATACTAAAAAGTTGTATTTACAAAATCGTGAGAAACATCAGCAAATCCTGATGGCTGCAGCGACTCAGACCAGACTGCTTTGATCGCAGGTACTTTCCCTGATGTCATCCAGGCTTGGTTTAGAAAACGAAACTTTTGTCTGATATCATGAATTTGGAGATTGAAACTTTGAATATTCAAAGTCACATGCGAGCGTTTTATATCACTTGATAGATTTTTTTATATTTAAATTCAAGTTTCTAGATATGTTGGACTATTTGCATTTTCTTTGATCTGCTTTGTTGATTTTATTATTTGAATTCGAGTATAATTGTCAAATATATAATTTTATTTATTGAGTTTTAAGATTATTATTATATTTATATACATACTCACATTCGGATATACATCACATTTCTGTTTATTTACATATTTCTTATTATTCTGATTTGGGCATTTGGGTATAGATGTATTGATATATAATTTTATTTGATGAACTTTTGAATGTTCCAAATATATCCTTAAACTCTAACCCTCATTTTAAATTGGTCCCCAAACTTTTGAATGTTTCAATTTCATCTCAAACTTTTGAATGTTTCAATTTCATCTCAAACTTTTGAATGATTTTGGAGAAATTGAAATATTCAAAAGTTTGGGGATCAATATAGAATGAAGGTCATAGTTTGAGGATGAAATTGAAATGTTCAAAATGTTGAGTATCAATTTTGATTGAGAGTCGGATAAAATTAAAGTATTGAAAAAGTTTGAAGACTAACATAGAATGAAGATCATAGTGTTGGGATGTGTGGTGCAATTAACTCTTTTATATTCATATTTGATATTCATCATATCTTTATACATATGCACGGATATGCATAAAACTGGTAACAAATATGGTAAAAGATTCTGTAATTAATGAAAATTTCTTTAACAATTTGAACATTGAGTTTGGTAATGTTCTTTGTGAATGGTCTCTGAATTTGCTACTTGGTTAAGAACTTCCTCGATCCTATGTCTTCATCATGCAGGTTTAACGGCCCGTCTCTGTACGGCGCTCGTTGAGGCGATCATCGGCATTCTTCTCTACAAACGCCATATGCGAATCTTGGAAGCACAAGAGCACCTACGGAAGGAGCGCGAAGCAATTCTTAACGCCAACAATGGTGGCAAAGCAGCCAAGGTTTTCACCGGCAAGGAGATAAAGAAAGCAACGAACAATTTCTCGAGAGACCGTATCCTAGGAGCCGGTGGCTACGGTGAAGTCTACAAAGGAATTCTCGATGACGGCACCATCGTTGCCGTCAAATGTGCCAAGCTCGGCAACACCGAAGGCACTGATCAAGTCCTGAACGAAGTACGGATCCTATGCCAAGTCAATCATAAAAGCCTTGTCCGACTACTCGGATGTTGCGTCAAACTCGAGCAGCCTATAATGGTTTATGAGTTCATTGAAAACGGGAACCTATTAGATCATCTGCAGAGCCCCAACACCAGTGACAGAGCGCAACTCTCTTGGAACTGTCGCCTCCGAATCGCCCGTGACACCGCCGAAGGCCTTGCATACCTGCATTTCTCTGCAGTTCCTCCGATATATCACAGAGACGTCAAGTCCAGTAACATCTTACTCGATGTGAAGTTGAATGGTAAAGTTTCGGATTTCGGGTTATCTCGGTTGGCACACACCGATATGAGTCACATATCAACATGTGCTCAAGGCACACTCGGATATCTCGATCCAGAATACTACCGGAGCTACCAATTGACCGATAAAAGTGATGTTTACAGCTTCGGGGTCGTTTTGTTAGAGCTTTTAACTTCGCAAAAGGCCATAGATTTTAACAGAGACTCAGATGATGTGAACTTGGCAATATATGTGAAGAGAATGGCAGACGAAGAGAAAATCATCGATGTTATTGATCCGATATTGATGGAGAAAGCGAGTCCGTTGGAGATTGACACCATGAAAGCATTGGGATTTCTTGCATGGAGTTGCTTGGAAGAACGTAGACAAAACAGGCCTTCCATGAAAGAAATCACTGAGGAAATTGAATACATCATATGCATTGCTTCAGTTAAGGCTGTTGAAAACTAGTTTTTTGGTGAAGTATATAATAGGTCATTGAATTATGCTTAAATATCGTTTTTGGTAAAGTTATAAAAGTAATCACTAAATTTTATTGAACTTTTTTTAAAATGATCACTACTATATTATAATAGATGTGAAATAAATTTAATGATGTCTCCTAAATTTTATTACGGGTTTGATCGAAATAAATTATTCTACTCAAATTGAATCGATAAAATTTATAAAAATTGAATCTGGACAAAGTTCTTTTAGCCGTATAGATAAATGAAAGAAAATTGTATTTTGATCCCTCTGAATTGTCGAAATGCATGATAACTAAAATGTCCCGATGACAATCTAACAAATATTTGTTGAAGCCATTTATTCCCTTGCGGAATTTACCAAATAGTAGTGGTGATGGATCAAGGAAGCTCACGGCAGTCATCAGGAACATTTTAAAATCTCATGTATTTTAAACTTTTTATTTATATTTTTATTGATAATTTATTTTCATCACTTAAAATTTTATAATTTTATTTACATCAGATTAAAATATCCCAATGGTAACCTAATATCTACTTGTTCAAATCATCTCTTCTATTGAAGAATTTATCAAACAATAACTACAAATAGAGATGGATGAAGGGGCTCACGGGACAATTACTCTCCTAAAACTTTTAAATTCTTATATATTTCACATCGTGTCTTTATATATTTTATCGATAACCTATTTCATTTTTAATTTTTTTATAAATTCATGTGTTGGTTTATGACTAAAATGACCTATTGACGACCTAATATCTATTTGTTAAAGCCATTTCTTCTACTATCAAATTTACCCCCGAGTAGCTACTAGTAGGGATGGACCACGGGGTCAACATGGGTGATTGTTCTTATGTAAATTTTTAAATTCTTTTATATTTTAAAAAATTTTCTTTATATTTTTAATTTGTTTTTATTTTTGAAATTTTTTTAAGTTCGTTTACGTCCCGAAATACCTAAGTTAAACACCAGACTTGCTGATTCAGTTCACACAAGTCACTAGATATGCAATCCAGTATTGGCAAACTGTGCCAAATGTATCATTTCCTAACTAATTTGCTGTATCAGCAGAATCCAAGTGAGCCCTGGGGATTGCTCTTTACATGTGCATTTACAGTGTCTTAATGGAAACTTCATATGTACTATGTTTTCCATATTAATATGAACAGCACATTCAATAAATGTTCTTTTCATAGATTTCTTAACCATGAATGCATTTGAAGAAGCTGAAAAACCAGCAAAAAAATGATAAAAATTTCCGTTGCCGGGCCCGGGTCTCCTAGGTGAAAGGAAGATATCCTAACCACTAGACGACAATGGAATGTTGATTAGAAAGTTATCAGCTATTATTTATCCAATAGAAAAACCCAAAATAAAATTTCCTTATACCTAAATAAGAAAATATTACACGTTTAACTGCGTTTGAATTCATGTTCTTTTACATGTTATAATCATAATTATATCAATCAAACTAAGAATGATTGCATAGTTGAACTGAACTGTGCGGCCAAATCTACTTCAGTGAGCCTAACATACATGCATACATACTCATGTGCAACCACAGTTTAGCTACATATAAAGGATATCTACCCTGTTCAGGTTGAGACCAAATCATCCCTGGATCTCTGTTTGTCAGATGAAGCAGTAACCAGTTTCAGGGCCTAAACACCATGGATTTAAATTATAGTTACATTTGTATTTTCCTCATATTATATTTATTGTAATTACAAACATTATTATAATTTTAATTACCGTAATTCTGTTTGATTCTTTTAAAATGCTACCCTAACAGTAGTGGCCTATTATTATCACAATTAACCATTACTCTTTAAATTACGATCACAATCCATTATTATCCCATTATTATGGTTATAATTTCACTTTTTACCGCTATTTTTCAATAATAAAAATTTCAATGACACCATTACCATTATATACGACCATTATTCAACTATCCAACCACTATTTAAATCCATGCTATACACCCACACGTAGAGATATTAAAACGAGAAAAGTCTTGTCTTGCATATTAACAGTATATTGGAGGTTCTGACAATAAATCCCATTTTGTTTTTTCATCCAAGATATGAAGAAAGAATTTACCCTTTTCCGCAGCGAGGAAGCCAAAATGCTACCGAATGGGAGAAAATTAATGCAGAGAAAGGGAAGAAACTATGGCGTCAGCTCATACGCAAACGCCCACATGAACCGAGCGATGGTAATCAGTATATGACGCCAAATTAACCCACAATTACATAAAACCAAAAAGAGTATATATAAGCTAAAAATGATAAACAATGAAGAAAAATATCGAATACTCAGATTATGAAGAAAAAAAGGAATTAAAATAATCGAGTCACTGAATCTAATTTAGAATAATAGACCAACAAATCAAATACCGATAGCTCAGAAAAATAGCAAAAGCATAAGAAGAACAATGAATGAATCTAAACAACGATACAGAAGAGTGTTGGAGTGGAGGTAGGAGGACAACATAGATATATTAGGGTTTCTCCGTTTGATTTTATATAATATGCGCTTTTAAAGCAACCGGCTGAACTGCTAGATGAAGGCCCAAACATTTTCTTTGGGCTAAGTGGAACCCTGAAACTTTCTTTTAAATTTTTCAGCTTAATATTCAAATATATTCTCGACTTTATAAATTTAATTGATTTATTTATTTTAATTTAAAATATGATAATTTTACTACAATAATAAAATCTAATTATTACAATTTATAATTAATACATAAATAACCCTATAATCATAATCAATTATTTAATATATATATATATATCACTACAATACAATGTATCTCCATAGTTAAAGTATTATTCTCTTTAAAGGTCTCGTCTCGGGTTCGAATAGTTACGTTTATAGGGTGTATATGCATGTTATTAATGGCTAATTTATTTTAAACATATTTTATTTTGTAATCACCCATACTATTAAAAACATTATTACTTGTAAACAGATAAATTATTAACCAAGCCACTTAAATTTTGAGAAGACTCAACTCAAGAAATAATAGAATTTTTGTGCTTAATTGCATGAGTTTTAAAGAGGCTTTGAGATAATCTAAACTAGTAACATGATAGGAGATAAAACGAGTCTACCACCTCATTCGACTATTATTTTTAGATCAAGTTGGATAATAATGTCTAGGTTACCACAAAAAATATTATAGAAGGATTATTTTCAACAACAGCTGCAGATGAATGAAAAATATCTTTAACTTCGATAAGAATATTATGATATGAAATAAAAAACTACCTTCTACTTGTATGTCAACAATAAACTACCGCCTCATTCGACTATTATTTTTAGATCAAGTTGGATGTTTTTCACCTAAACTCAATCTTATCCTTCAAAAATACCTGACTCGACTCAAACCCAAATTAAAAATTTTAAAAAATCAACTTAATAGAATCAGGTCAAATGTACCTCCCTAATCATTTTCATAACTTATAAATTGACCTTAAATAGTAGAACATAGTCATGCAAGAACATAGGTTTAAAAGAAATAAGGGGGGAGGGGGAATGGCCAAAATATGCACTTTAGACAGTATATTGCAACTGTTGACAATGTTTGAGAGCACACTAAAACACCAGGAAGATTATAATCTTTCTAGTTTGTTCTCGGGGTCGCCCACTCGACTCGAAGGATGAGATTGTCGTAACCATATCCATTCAGCTTGTTAATAGCTCTTTGGGCATCCTCTCTGTTCACAAAGTTGACAAAACCAAACCCTCTACTTGTGCCCGTCTTCTGATCCATAGCAACATACACACGAGTCACAGCACCGAATGGTCGGAAAAGTTCATGCAAGTCAAGCTCCCGGGTGTCCTCAGATAAGTTGGTTACCCTCACGGAGTTCTCATCATTCCTGCGTCTCATATCCGATCCGGTGATTCTCTCTGCACCAGCTCTCATGCTTGGTGGAACGTAAGCTCCCTTTCCAGCTCCGGGAGCAGCCACCGAGGTCTCAGATGCTGCAGGTTTCTCGACAAAGGTTTCGACTGGAGCAGCAAGATCCTTGTAAGGGCATTTGGAAGTCCAGTGATCACCTTTCTTACCACATGTACGGCACACCATGAGAACAGCACCACCCTTGCTAAGCTGAGCCAAACTGTCCCCTGCAACCTTCATTTCTTCCTGTTTGGTACCTGTAAACAATTCGATATTCCAAAGGATTTTACACCCAAAATCCGAACAGGGACAAAAAACCAAATTCTTTTTGCAAGTTCTTAACAACATAGTTTACAACTACCGAGTTCCAAAATCATAGATACAAGCAAATTCACGGGTCTAAATGTCACAGCGAGAGCATGCCGTAACAAAACCTTCAAGCCCAATGCTGATAACACACACTTTAGAAACATTTCTTGGATGCTGTTAATGGCCTCGGAATGAAGCCAATAAATTTGTTTCGCTATTAAACATTCAAATGCTGATTTAGGAAAGATGCAATCGGTGGCCCCATGGCCATTCCGCATTAAACAACAGCCACTTGATTAAATACATGATTGGCAGGACCAATCCCCCATGTTCAAATGAAATACAAAACCAGAAAAAACATGTGATTGAACAAAAATGTAGGTAAAATTTCAGAATAAACAGCTAGTAGGAAGACCGGGGAATGCCGACAAATGTAGTTAATGGCTCCGAAAGTGAAAATTTAAACACATTTCACAGTAAAAAAGGCCACCATCAACTGCTATAGTTGGCTTACTGACCATTCACATAAACAGACAGCAACAATGGCTGATATGTGACTGGCTAATTGACCACCATAATCAAATGAATCAAATCACGCTCATTAACGTGTTTCTGTCACCAATAGCTTGAAAAAATACATATAAAGATGCAATCAAATGCAAATTATGAGAAACTTAACAACAATCAAAACCAAATAAGACAAAATTAACAATAATCAATCATCCTAATCTAAAATTTTCAAATGTTATATATTCAATTTCATCAA